TTTCAGCGATCTCGACTTTTTTTTGCTCCCCAACATGAAAATCTTGTCCAAATTACAAATCACAACCATAAACACAATGATTTCTCAACAAATATACATATAAACATGCTTTATTTTAAATAAAACAACTTACATTTTTTAGACGAAGTTAAAAGAAATGGCCAATTGGGTCATCGATTTTTTGCCTTCTTGATTGGTGCCTTGATCGTTGGTGGTCGTTGCTACAACAACTTTCACTCTTTGCATTGCTCTCTTCAAAATGACAAGGGTAAAACTGCCCTTTTCTTGGTTTTCAATTATTTAATTTTTTTTTTCCTTCCCTTAAAGTTGGTCAAAGGCCTCTTTAAAAAGATGGCCGGGTGATTCAACGACCAGATTCGGACGCAAACTTTTTATGTTCTTTCGCTCTTCTGAAAGGAGAAAGAAGGGGATTCAATTTTGTAATTATGTTCCTGCAATCTTGTAGATTTTACAGTTGCCCAGATACTATTCTTAATCCTCCTAAAACCCAATTTTTGATACGCAAAAATTCAAGAATTCGTTCTTATTTTCCATTTCGGTGTATATCTAAACTAGCATGTCCTGCAACTGCAGTCAGTGATGTTGCTGACATTTTCCAGAACAAGGTTAGGTTATTCTTTTTAATGGGTCATGAATTTCTTCGGGTGTTTTTTTCATGATTCGCAACTTCTTGGTTAATTGATTGTGTACAGGTTTTGATAGCTGCAGCTTTATCTGCTGCAATTGGGCAATTGTCAAAGCCAATTACTTCAACTTTATTTTATGGCAAGAATTTTGATGTTAAGGCTGCGGTTCAGGCTGGAGGGTTCCCTTCTACCCATTCCTCTGTAATGTTTTCTACTATCCTGCTTATGCATATGATTATATATTTGTTTTTTGGGCTAGGCTAGGGTTATGAAATCGTAATCTGATGATCGATGGGTTTTCGTGGTTATAATTTCATTCCATATCAAATAGGGTTTTTAATGGATCATATGTATTCCAAATTACAGGCTGTGGTGGCCACTGCGACTTCTCTTGGTTTGGAAAGGTACTTTTTCCCTCATTTATTTTATTCATTAAATAGAAAATTTCCTTCAGTTTTGATTCTAATTACGAAGTTATTGCAGGGGTTTCTCTGATGCAATTTTTGGTTTAGCTGTAGTTTATGCAAGCCTTGTCATGTATGATGCACAGGTTTGTGTTCCAACTACTGTCTTTTCTTCCTTTACGCTTTGATCACTTAACTATGCATCAATGTGCAAATTGAACTTGGGGACTTTGAAATGGAGGGTTTGCGGGTTTGAGCTTACTTTTTTGCATGAAGGGGACAACATTAGTGGTAGTATTTTGTTCTAGCTTGTATCAAGCATTTGAAAAAAAGAAAAAAAAA